GCAATGAGGGGGTGTCTGGAGCAATCTGGGTGTGACTAGGGTCGATCAGAAGGTGGCTGGAGCAATCTGGGGGTGATTGGAGGCAATGAGGGGGCAACTGGAGCATTCTGGGGGTGACTGGAGTCAATGAAGGGATGTATGGAGCAGTGAAGAGGTGACTGGAGCAGTGACGATTTGACTGGTGCAAGGAGGGGGTGACTGGAGGCAATAAGGAGCTATCTGGAGTGACTGGAGTCAATGAGGAGGTGACTGGAGTCAATGAGGAGATGACTGGAGGCAATGAGGGGGTGACTGGAGAAATCTAGGAGTGTCTTCAGCAATGAGGGGGTGTCAGGAGCAATGATGAGGTGACTGGAGGCAATAAGGAGCTATCTGGAGTGACTGGAGTCAATGACGGGGTGACTGGAGTCAATGAGGAGGTGACTGGAGCAATCTGGGGGTGTCTGCAGCAATGAGGGGGGTGTCAGGGAGAGTCTGGAAAAAACTGGGGATGACTGGGGCAATGAGGTGTGGGTGTCTGGAGGCAATGCGGGACTGTGTGGAAGTAATGATGGGGTGTCTGGGCAATTAGTGGATGTCTGGTTGTATTAGGGGGTATATGCAGTTACTACCTGGGGTTAAATGGGAGTAACTGGGGTTATTTGGAGATATGAGGTATATGGTGTTATTTGGAGACATCAGCAGGTGCATGGTGATTGCAGGAGGTACGTGGAGGTATTTGGGGAGATAGCAGGAGGTACGTGGAAGTATTTGGGGAGATAGCAGGAGATACGTGGAGGTATTTGGGGAGATAGGAGGAGGTATGTGGAGGTATTTGGGGAAATCATGAGGTACGTGGAAGTATTTGGGAAGATCATGAGGTACATGGAGTTATTTGGGGAGATCATGAGGTATATGGAGTTAATTGACCAAATCAAGAGGTATATGGAGTTAATTGACCAAATCAAGAAGTATATGGAGTTATTTTGAGATATTAGGAGGTTGTGACAAAGTGCCCTTCGCCACTTGGTCCTTGAGAGGCCTACTTGCCAGCCTCCTCCCCTGTGACTATGACTCTTTCATGTATCTGGCTTTAAAGCCCCTAGTCTACCTTCAGACAGACTATTTATGTGGGCTGCTTTATTTATCTTATGTTTTAGTCACCCTGTACCCATTATAGGTGCAGGGTGTGTGTAATGTAATTGTTTATAGTGTGTGTGTGTGTGTACTGTTTAATGTATTGCCTGCTCTCTTGTATTGCTGAGGTTTGTTACCAACTAGGTGGGTTTGGCTATGGAGCTGGTCTAGTGCCCTCTGTTGGTAGCAACAGCAATATGCACTACCTGAATTGCAAGACTGGTTCATTTGCATATTCGGGTAGATTTGCATATTGCTAATTCTGCAGGCAGGTGAGATATTTACTGTTAAATATTGTCTCCCCGCACCCTTTTAAACATGTGCCATTGTGTTGTGATAAGTCACTGTGTGTTGCTTGATATGGTTTGACTGTTTGTGATTTTATTGAGGTTTCACAACAATGTTATTGTGGTGACCCTATTGGCTGGTACCAAGGGAAATAAAGGTTTTGACAGTTCTTCTTGATTCCTCTAAATGTAGCCTTGTCTTGTTATTGGAGGGAGCGGTTATAATCACACTGGGGATTGCTATGCTCTGCATGCTCCCCTGAGCTTGAGTCACTTAGCTCTTTTAAGAGCTTGTTCCTGTTATGCTCTCCTTGGAGGAGTGGTCTTCACCACACAGTCCTGGATGCTGGAGGTTCATACAGGGTGGAAGGAAGAGTTCTTTCCCACACAGTCCTGGAGGACAGAAGCTGATCCAGGGTGGAAGGAAGACGGCGAGACTCCAGTCAAGATACGGCGGTTGGGGAGTCTGCGGTGGTTGTGGTGTCTGCTGCAGTGCTTGGAGTCCTCAGGAAGCGCTAGGAGCATCCATCAACGGAGGGTACTCGTTCGGAGTACAGGGAGCTTCGTTACATTGGTGGCAGCGGTGGGATGGCGTCCTAGTGTGAGGAGAAGCAGCTCGGAGACACTGGTATCGTATGAGAGGTTATTGAGGGCAACGCTAGCCACTGTGCAGCGTCCCTAACTACAGCAGCATGGAGCAGGGATGGATAGAGCCCTGCGAAGAGCACCTCAACATGATACGTCGCTACGAGGACGACGCTAACATTGAGGAGGTAAAGAGGCGGTTGGTCTGCTATGGCCCAGACCTTTCGAACGAGGTGGTCCACCAAGTAATGCGCCAGTTGAGTGCTGAGAACAGTGCGGCAATGGCCTTTGAGCAACAACTGTGGAGGTTGAGGATATGGACACCTAGTCTCCAGCGGCAGTTCAAGTTACAGGGAGCCGAAGGTGTCGTCCTTCCTCCCCAGCGGCAGTGCGAATTCCAGGGGGCCGAAGGTGTCGTCCTTCCCCCCCAGCAGCAGTGTGTCCTACAGGGAGCAGAGACAGTTGGTCTCTCTCTCCAGCAGCAGGACAATGTTATGGGAGTGGAGACAGTAGGTCTCCCTCTCCAGCGGCAGCCTGTGTTTCAGGGAGAGGAGCACAGCACCCTATCTCCCCAGCGGCAGCTTACCCTACCAAGGGGAGACACCAATCTCCCAGATGGTGCAGATGGGACCGTGGTCTCTGTGCCTGACCTACAGGGATGCTGGACAGCCTGTCCAGATCCCCAACTACCCTCACAGGGACAACAGGAAGAGGGGGTAAGTACGAATTCCCCTCCCCAGCTAACTCCTAACTTGGCCCCAGGGTTAACAGAGGAGATGTTAACCCCCACTGACTCCCATGTTCCCCTGGCTACTGAGCTGGACTATGTTCCCAGCACCCCAGCGGAAGAGCTGGCAGCTGGGCAGAGTGCAGTCAGCCTCTGCCCTCCCTTTGTCCCTTGTCCAGAGCCTGATGTCCTGCAGGCTATACCAGCGGAAGAGCTGGCAGCTGGGCAGAGTGCAGTCGGCCTCTGCCCTCCCTTTGTCCCTTGTCCAGAGCCTGATGTCCTGCAGGCTATACCAGCAGAAGAGCTGGCATCAGGGCAGACCGCCGCTGGCCTCTGCCCTACTGATCCCCTTGTCACAGGACTGGCCTGCACCCCCCTCCTCCCAGCAGAAGCGCTGGCATCAGGGCAGAGCGCCGCTGGCCTCTGCCCCTCAAGTCCCCACAGAGTGTTGCCCCATCACCCCAGAGGAATACCCAGGTGCAGTCACTGTTTGCTGTGGGTGGGCTGCTCTAATAACTGTTTGTTGTGGGTGGGCTACTCTGGCACTTGCTTATGGTCGGTGGGTGACTCGACTAACTTAGGCACTGACCGACAGAAAGTCAGGTGCCTGGTTAGTCTTCCCCCCGAAGGGGAGATATGTGACGAAGTGCCCTTCGCCACTTGGTCCTGGAGAGGCCTACTTGCCAGCCTCCTCCCCTGTGACTATGACTCTTTCATGTATCTGGCTTTAAAGCCCCTAGTCTACCTTCAGACAGACTATTTATGTGGGCTGCTTTATTTATCCTATGTTTTAGTCACCCTGTACCCATTATAGGTGCAGGGTGTGTGTAATGTAATTGTTTATAGTGTGTGTGTGTGTACTGTGTAATGTATTGCCTGCTCTCTTGTATTGCTGAGGTTTGCTACCAACTAGGTGGGTTTGGCTATGGAGCTGGTCTAGTGCCCTCTGTTGGTAGCAACAGCAATATGCACTACCTGAATTGCAAGACTGGTTCATTTGCATATTCGGGTAGATTTGCATATTGCTAATTCTGCAGGCAGGTGAGATATTTACTGTTAAATATTGTCTCCCCCCACCCCTTTAAACATGTGCCATTGTGTTGTGATAAGTCACTGTGTGTTGCTTGATATGGTTTGACTGTTTGTGATTTTATTGAGGTTTCACAACAATGTTATTGTGGTGACCCTATTGGCTGGTCCCAAGGGAAATAAAGGTTTTGACAGTTCTTCTTGATCCCTCTAAACGTAGCCTTGTCTCGTTATTGGAGGGAGCTGTTATAATCACACTGGGGATTGCTATGCTCTGCATGCTCCCCTGAGCTTGAGTCACTTAGCTCTTTTAAGAGCTTGTTCCTGACACGCTCTCCTTGGAGGAGGGGTCTTCACCACACAGTCCTGGATGCTGGAGGTTCATACAGGGTGGAAGGAAGAGTTCTTTCCCACACAGTCCTGGAGGACAGAAGCTGATCCAGGGTGGAAGGAAGACGGCGAGACTCCAGTCAAGATACGGCGGTTGCGGAGTCTGCGGTGGTTGTGGTGTCTGCTGCTGTGCTTGGAGTCCTCAGGAAGCGCTAGGAGCATCCGTCAACGGAGGGTACTCAGTCGGAGTACAAGGAGCTCCGTTACAGAGGTATATGGTGTTATTTTGAGATATCAGGGCGTATATGGTGTTATTTTGAAATAGGGCGTATATGGAGTTATTTGGAGATATCAGGAGGTGCTTGGAGATATCAGGAGGTATATGGAGTTATTTGGAGATACCAGGAGGTAAATGGTGTTATTAGGGGATATATCGGAATAACTTTCTGTAGCTATTGGAGGTATCTGGCGATAAATGGGAGTATACGGAATTATCATGGCTTCTTTTGATTTTAGGCGCTATATGAAATTACATATATAGTTAATGATGGAGCAACAAGGTACTAGAATGTCATGGGGTCTGAAAACAGTTTTGTTAGTAACGCGCAGTTATAGGGCATTTCATACACTTGCGCTCTTTGATTATTAGAATTTATATAGTGTCAACATATTCCGCAGCGCTATAATTAGAGAAAGGGGTTATTTAGCGGCAACAAACTTATAATCTAGGAGGAATTGAGGTAGGCAGATATCGTTAGATGTCTTGCCCACGGACACTTACTGGGTTTCCCAGTTCTAAGACATTGACCAGCCGATATATAAACAGAATTCTTGTTTGAGTTTCAGGGATCATATGTCAGTGGGCCAAGGTACTACCACAGAGTGAGATTCTCTGTAAGGTTTGAATAAGGATGATACTCTGCTACATCCATATGTTTTTTCCCCTTCTGTGACAGGCTCAGCTCCTTGAGCTCCGGACTCAGAACTACCAGTTGTCAGACAATCTGCGCAAGAATACCCAGGGTAACCATATGCTCTCCCTCCTCCCCTGGCGATATCCTTCATCTCCTGTTCCCCCCTCAAATATTTTCCTGCCCCTGCTTCCCCGACAATCTGTTATCCCTTGCTTCTCCAACATTCTCCTCCATAGCAGCTTCCCCGTAATCTCCTCCATTGCCCGCCTCCCCGACAATCTCCTCCATTGCCCGCCTTCCCGACAGTCTCCTCCATTGCCCGCCTCCCCGACAGTCTCCTCCATTGCTCGCCTCCCCGACAGTCTCCTCCATTGCTCGCCTCCCCGACAGTCTCCTCCATTGCCCGCCTCCCCGACAGTCTCCTCCATTGCCCGCCTCCCCGACAGTCTCCTCCATATAATCTATACAACCCCCCAACCCCAATGGTGCTGTATGGATACTCTCTGTAAGTTTTTTTTTTTACCTTTACAGAGTTGTCTTCTCTTCGCCAGAAGCACGGGACATTGGAACGAGAGTTTGTCAAATCTCAAAAGGTAAAGAAACCAGATTCTTCAACAGCTGTTACTTCTCAACATAACGCATAGAATACCTACTCCCAGCAAGAAACCCCCATAATGTTCCCCCTTCCCACCCATAATGTGCCCCTGCAAGGCTCCATCATTTTCCCTCCATAATTTATATGGGCAAAGATTCCCCCGTTTCCCAAAATGTCCCTCCTTCTCCCCCCCATAATGTGAGTGTGAAAGGCTCTCCGAAACTTGTAATGCTTTGTGGATAGTAGCACCCTGATATTATTGTTATTTGGGTATCCTGAACCCCCCCCCCCACATGTATGATCACCCCTCCATCATGCTGTTTTAACACCTTTCTTATTTGTTTCTCTTCTTCTCCTTCTCAGGCTCTGAGCAAAAGCAAGAAAGCACAGGTGAGCTACATGTATTCTGGTGCTGTCCCTTCCCTGCAAGAGCGCTTGTCCGGGCATTTCATGTCCATCTGCTTACTGTTTGGGGATTTTATTGTTTC